TTTCGGTGCCTGGGACGAGAATTTAAAAACATACAGAAAACTAAATATTATAAATATTAAAATGCTCTCCTAGATCATGATACTAGGCGTAACCAGCTACATTCTAAACGAAAATTCGATATTCTCAGGCGATGTTTGTGGCTTCCTGAGCCGGGCGGAACTGCCAAGAAAAACGTTGGGACTTAGTCTCCAGAGCGAAAAGACGCGGCTTTCGGTGCCTGGGACGAGAATTTAAAAACATACAGAAAACTAAATATTATAAATATTAAAATGCTCTCCTAGATCATGATACTAGGCGTAACCAGCTACATTCTAAACGAAAATTCAATATTCTCAGGCGTTTTCTGTGGCTTCCTGAGCCAGGCGGAATAGGCAAAAAACGTTCAGACATACTCTCCAGAGCGATGAGACGCGCTTTTTTGTGCATGTGATCAGATAAAAAAAAATGAACTAAAAAATAATTGTTACTATTATCAAAATACCCTCCTGGAATATGATACTAGACATACCGAGATACGTGAAAGATGTAAATTAAATATCTTTATCATTTTTTGTGGCTTAATCAGCCAGGGGCAACTGGGCGGAAAAATCATCTGGCATAGTTCCCAGAGCGACAGATGCGTTTTTTTTTTGTGGGAGGGGCGAGATATAAAAAATTGCAGGAAAATAATATTTATGGATATTAACATTTTTTTGCCGGAGAATGATAGTAGACATGCCCAGCTACATGCCACGTAGAAATTTTACCTCCTCATGCAATTTCTTCTAATTTCTTGACCTTATGAAAAAAGCACTGTATAATTTAGTCGGCAAAAAGGCGACAAGTAGCCTAACTCGCACTTTTTGCCTACTGCTTTGACTTTTAACACTCCAGAAGCTTCCTTGAGATTATAAATGCGAACTAGGGTGCCATCGGGGTGATGACGTCTTTTGTAGTACCCGATGCCGACAGCACGTGCTCACAACGAGAGTACAAAGAAATACCTTGAAAAAAAAAAATGGTGCCGTATCACAAGTAAAGCGCGCTCCTACCAAAGAATAAAAAGCACAGCGCCCGTATGAGAAATATTGCACCACTGTTGGTGACATGGTCACGTGACGATAATTTACGGGGGTCACGTGACCATCGTCCGTTGCGCCACATTAACCACGTAACCACAGTGAAAGAGTGGGCCAACGGAAGCCACAAGGTCATGTGACCACGATCCGTGGGGTCATAAGAACACGGTCCGTGGAGTAACGGGAACATAACGCGCGGGGCGGGGGGGGGGGGGGGGGGGAGAGGGGGGGTTCCTCTCCGCCAGGTCTCCACGCGGGAAATGATATCGCATTTAAGCCTCACAGGTTGTCCAATTGTCCAAGATGACAGCCAACGTTTTGCCGATCACGGGCGAGCGCGGTTCTTCTTGGTGGGCGGCCAACGGACTCCCACCACCCGAAAAGTACAGAGGAAGCACCTAGAGCTCCCAGAAGTGCGTGAGTCAAAAATTGTGTAAAGTCGTCGGTTTCTTTACTAGGATTTGGGCATGGTACAGGAACCGCAACATCTCTTATTGGTCCATAATTGCTATCGACATGTATGGCGCTAAAATGAATTCATTTGTCCTTCGAAAAGAAGGATCTTGCTACCATGGTGCAATCATCAGAAATATATATTTCATTCTTTAAAATAGTAAAGATTTGCGAAATATTTTGGGCGTGAGATCTCTGCTGACCCAAACATGTTTTAACGCTATTGCCAGCCCTCGGTTATTAGAGAGCTTTAGACCTAGATAACTCAAAATTGAGCGTGAATTTCAAAATGCTCTCCTGGAATCAATTAAAGCTAAGATTAATAAAGCGATCGCATTTGACCTCAAGCTCCCGTGGCGACAAGCTTTTCTTCCTGGGAGCTGAATGTCATGGCCTCGTTTTCAATGGGAATCTATGGGATTCGGTTTGTTGATTCGGGAAGGAAATGTAATGGTCGTGAGGCACTGGAATTCTTCAGATAAGCGGGCTATTAGATCAATATTATGGCCCCCCCGAGTGCAATTAAATTTGTGGAGTTTTAACTGAATTACAAAAATAAAACGTTTTTGCCCATTGAGTTACGCTGGGGCGCTGACGTGACTGCCGAGAGATGGCGTAAGTTGCGAGCGGCGGCATGTCCCGGATTCTTGGGGTTGTTTGTCAAAGGCGTCGTGCCGTCATCGTTGGCATTTCGTAGCCGGCTAAAGCTTCCTCGCTGAATTAAGCTTCATCGGCTGCTCATTACAAGATGGTACGGTTGAAAACAGCAAGGGTCAACACAAACGATGTCTTCACTTTCGGTAGTTTTCCACCACCCTCAGTTTCCCTTTTTCTCCCGCCGAGCAGCAGGAGGCGGAACTAGGGCGAAATTTTAATTTGCGATTACTTCGCTGCATCTAAAAACATTGCAAAACAACCATAACCTTCTAGAAAGTATTTTTATAAAAAAAAACTGAAGCTAAAAAAAAATTAGGAGCGATTTGAGGATTTTAAGTATGCCGTTTTTATTTCAGAGTACGAAAACAAAAATAAAGAAATTTACAAGCCCCTGTAATGCCAAATAAGAGTGCAGCTTTTGAGGAGGAGGAGGGAAGGGTATGCCCCTTTTCCCCCTCCTCCCATCCCCTCCTCTCCTTTCCTTGAACGGGAAAAAATTTCTCGTTAAACGTTGCGGGAACGTTTTTCACTGAATTTAGTAGGAAATGTAGGGAAATTTTCCCGCTAAATGGGAAAGGACCCCATGAGCGGGAAATTTTCGCTACATTTGCCGCTAAATTCAACGGGGAAATTTTTACGCTAAATGTAGAAAAGAAAATTTCCGTCCAAATTTACCGGAAAAATATCCCCGCTAAACTTAGCAGTGAAAGTTTTTTGCTAAAATTAGCGGGAAATTTTTTTCGTTAAATTGAGCGAAATTTTTTTTTTGCTGAATTTAGCAGGAAATTTAATCTGCTAAATTTAGCGGGAAAAATTCCCTCCTCCTCCTCCTCGCTCGTGAAGTCACTCGGGACCCTCGTGACGTCACTCATGACCCTCGTGACATCACTCGTGACCCTCGTGACGTCACATGTGACGTCATTTTGGGAAACGTCCCATAACTCAACGCGCGGTTACTCCGACGACGACGGCGACGCCACTCAAGTCGGAAACGGGTGCCTAAGAGCTGCGCCCTAAATAACAACCGTGCTAGAATTTTTGCAGGGCATGCGGCGAGCCCTTTTACCACTTGTTATCTGTCAAAGGCATTGTGACGTTAACGGGTGACACCGGTGATAACGTCACTTTTGCTAACTTTCCTCTCGGGTCTGGGATTGTTCCTTGTGCTACAAGAATGCTACAGTCGTACGCGTTTTACACGCAGTTTTTAATTACGCAATATTATATTATACGCGTTTTCGTTTGTTTTTTTTTTTCAAATTTCTGCATATTTTTTTCGGTGTTTATTCTACAATTCAAATTTTTTTTTTCGGTGTATATTTATTTCCAAAAAAGTTTACCGTTTTTTTTTTTCGGTGAATAGTAGCTGTAGCTGTGATATTTGTGATCCCTCCAAGAATAACAGTACATATACACACGTGGTCTTCGCTACAACTTCTGTCCAGGACACACCTCAAAAACCTTGGAGTTCGCGAGCATAACCTTTAGTTTTTTTGTTTTTTTTTTCTAATCTGACGACCTGAGCGTCTGAGGTGCACGATGACCGTACAGGAACCAGCGGAATGGCCAGAAGAAATTCATCGTATTTATGTTCTCAACCACAAAGAAGTTTGAGTGCGGATGTTAAGAGAAATATTAACGGCTTTCCTCGATGTCGTCTGAAGTGCATGAAGTGAAACACTTATCACTCTAAAGAAAGCCTGTGCGCCTACTTTCTCGCACATCACTCGGAGAGCCAATCACCGCAACTTACGGAGGCAGCTTAGTGAATGACGATGGCGAAATATATGTTTGGACCAAAAAACGTAGTCTGTGTTGAGACATTAAGCGATGCAGAACGTCACGCTTGCATTCCTTAATGTCACAACTCAGACTGCGTTTTTTTTTTTTTGTCTAAACATATGCTTCGGCATCATCATTCGCTGAGCTGCCCCCGTAAGTTGCGGTGATTAGCTCTCCGAGTGTTGTGCGGGAAAGTAGAGGCACGGGCTTTTTTTAGAGTGTGCTATCCCACATCCAATCTTTTTTTTAGGACCGGGAACTTAACACATTAAGCCCGATCACGGAAAGAACACAGATGTCCCGTGAAGGCCACTGCAAGACCTCCTTTGTTGCATGTTGAACCTTGGAAGAGGGCAATCACGAAGACGTCACACAATGTCGAACCTTGCAATGCCCTTTCACTCTGTCCCCCCCTCCCCCACCCACCTCAAAGCGGTGCTAAAGAACTGACCTTTTTCGGTTAAAACCGAATTTCAAATAGGGATTAGACGTACTTCTATTGGTTTTCATCGGTTTGAAACGAAAACGCCGAACCTACAAACTGACCTTTTTCGGTTAAAAGCGCATTTCCGAAAATGTATTTGGCGCAGTTTTATCGGTTTTTATCGGTTTAAACCGAAAACTCCGAACACTAATTATACAGTATTATGAACAATCAATAGCGCGAAGTACAGACATGGGCAGCAACACCTAAACACTACAGGACTCGACTTCGTTTAAGTCCAGACGCAGCCGACGGCTAATGGGGCCAACGAAGCAGCGTGATGGTTCGATTTTGATGCTGTATGATTGGTCATATCAGCTCCTAGCCCCGGAGGCGAGCGCCTATCCAGAGATCTGCCCGTGCCTAGATCTGGGGACAACGCCAGCGTAGGGAAAAACCGCTCGTAGGGAATCCGTTCGGATGGTAGTGATGATGATCATAATCATGTCATATAACACCTGAGACTGTGGTCGAAGAAATTGGAAACTTTTTAATAGAAGGATCAGACACAAAAAGGGACGTCTCAAACTCAGCTAACTGGTTTATTTCTCGACCATCCTACATCATGACTGACTTGCCCACTGGCGCCACCCTGGCCTTGCTGTTTTCAACGGTTCTCAGGTTGCCGGAGCGGCGTGTTTGAACTGTTTGAACCACAGGTTAAACCACAGGCACCACAGATTTGAACTGTTTCAACGGGAGTCATGGCAAAACGAACGGAGTAGCACTGCGTGGCCTCGCAATCCCAGCGACCCGACGAGCTCGCAAAGCGTGCTCGGAAGACGACCCTCCCAAAGCCGACGACGCGCACTCACCTCTGTGGACAGCGAAGAAACATCGTCGCACTGTGACAACGGCGACTAGTGCACGGCATTTATTTTTTGTTGGCGTTCGTTTCATAAAACCCGTCTATAAGGTATGTGTTCAATCTTCATTACTTTACCTGCGCGGTAGAACCGGCCAATATCTGAAAGCTAAATCAGCCTGCGCGTTAGAATCCTGAAAACACGGCAAAGTGGATCTGCTGCGTGTTCAACCCCTTTTCCCATGACTTAGGATGTCGTAGCAGAGTCTTACGTGTTCATATCATAAAACATCACATCATAAAACGCAAATATGCCGTGTCCGCAATCCGCGGTATCAGTTCCCGTTTTATGTGGTTTGTAGCGGATAGCCCAGTTGCTTATCGCGTTTCTTTAAATAAATTTTTGCTGTCGCATTCCCAAAGATAGCCCACCCCACGTTTTTCCCAATTTATCTCTTCATTTTGGGTGGACATTCTTACGGGATTTTACGGTAGTTTTGCTTTGTCCTCTGCATAAGTCTATGTCCTTTCCACTTTTCAGGAGCTTGTGACCACCCTGAAAGGCTTGACGAGCTACGTGCTCGTATTCATGTTGGTGCCACGAGGTGGGCCTTTCGGGCATGCCAGGGAGGATGAGAGGCTGTCCCTGAACCGCCTACTAGTACAAAAAGGTGTTGCCCTCGGCGTTACCATCGTGAATGTCGACTGACGTAAGTACATGGAACTTTCACCCCTGGTGCACTGTCCTTTTGAGTTACATGTGACATGCTCCTTTTGAGTTACATGTGACATGTGACATGCCTCTGGAATGCTGTTCATTGAGTGACAAGGTTGGGCGGATATAACCTAAGAAGCATTTGAAATGACAAATACTGGAATACACAGCAGTGACAGCTAAAGTATTGATACTAAAATACATTTATAAAAGGAGCATTGCAAAACAATTCAAATATGTATGACTAAAAAATGGGTGACAAAGTATCTTTAAATATGTTTTGTTTGAAGGAGAAATCCTGATACTGAAATATGGGGGGCAGTCAGTTCATTGAACGACGTTTCATTGACAGTTCGTTTCATCGACAGTTTGTTACATCGACAGCTCAGATAAGCTTTTTTTCTGTAGTGACTCCCCGCAGAATGTTGCCGCGAAGCAGCTCGAGTGGGTGGGCCCACTGATCTCTACTAAAGGGGGCTGGATGGCGCTTAGCTGCTCTCCGAGCCTGGCGCAAGTGAAGCCACCGGAAGTTCGATTCTTGTCCCGGAAGCTTCCTAGTGCATTCAGTCGATATTTTGGACCATGCTTTTTTGTTTCTTTGATTGGGTTTTAATGCTCCCGTTCTGGATTAAATCCTGAGAATGAGGCATTTGAACTTGAGACATATTCACAACTTGATCAACTAGAATCTCAAAATGTTTACATTGAATGGCTTCCCATGATACTTCTCGGGTCTGCATGCACTCTTACTGTGCAACAAGCAGACTCTCTTGAGAGAACAAGCGAAAATCCAGCGCCCTCGACGCTTTTCGAACCAGCACTCGGAAGGGTTACAAAGCCTGCCAAGCACTCACTTCCGGGACAAGCTGCTCACCTCCAGTGGCTTCATACTTGTTTGCTCAATGCGCATACATCCAGCCCCCTCTAGTGGAGATCAGTGGGTGGGCCTTGTGAGGATGACGCCAAGCCCTATGCCGTTACATACCCAAGGCGAGTTCCTCTTCCACTGCTCTCACAAGTGGAGAATGAATTGGAAAGGATGAAAGAAATGGGAGTCATCAAGAAGGTGGAAAAAGCAACGGAGTGGTCCGGCATCCTGCGGTACAGTGACACGGCCAGCAGCCCAACCAAGGTCCTACATTGTAAGCACATCGACAGGACTAACACGACGCACCGGGAGTCACATGCAGCCAACGGCGGTCACTAGGAGCGGACGACCAAGCAGACCACCGTACAGGTTGGACTTGTAGCGCGGCTCCCTACTCCTAAGAAAGGGGGGTGTCGTGAGTGGCATTGCGAGCGACCGCCGACTGCTGTGCCGTGACGCGCCTACGCGCGGAGTACTCTCGCTCTGGGAGGCCAGTGGACGGGGGGAGAACGGCACAACCATGCGAAGACATGGCTGTGTGTCGCTGACTACACGTATTGCCTTTAACCCGCAATAAACTGTTCTTGTTATACCTGAACAACTGCTACGACAGGCCTGGTGTGTTAATATTTCTGTAGTGAGCCGCCACAGACGGTTGCTGCAAATGACGTAGACGGGCGGGCCAGGTAAGTTAATGCGTGCCCCAGTGACACACACAACGAAACATCACAACATCGTACAGTTAGCGTAACGATTGTCGATGACATGTCAGTGTCGACCAGGGGCGGATTTAGAGGGGGGTCCGGATGTCCTGACCCCCCTCTTGATTTCTGCTTGTGTAAATTTTAGGACGTAAAACGAAGGAGAGGGGGATGGGGTCCCTAAACATATGGTACGCTGACCGACACCTGACCCCCCCGCTCAGGAAATTCCTGCATCCGCCCCTGGTGTCGACGAAATGTATGTCAATATGTCGTTTGATTAAAAGTTGTCGATGAGATGTCTGTCGATGAAACAAAACAGATCCCAAAATGTAGGTTGCCACAGTAGCGGGGTTTGCTATAAAATGAAGCAAAACATTATAGTCTGGGTGTAGCAAGCTTCATATTCTGTCACAGGTGTATTGCAGTGGTGGATGTTACCATGTGAAAGTTAAAGGCACTGATTTGTTTGTTCGAAAAATCGGAAGAATATATGCAAGATTTTCAGTTATGAATGCTGATGTTGACGGCCGAGGGTTGTATTTCATTCTCATGTTGAGAGATGGCAGAGCACATCACGGAAAGTAGACTGCACTGTGGAGCAGCGGGTCTACGGCAGGGTGTGTCGACCCCAATTGCGTTTTTCTGTTGTGGCTTTTATGTCTGCGTGCATGGCTATACTGTATTGTCACAAATAACAAATGGTGAGGCGGCGAATAAGTGAAGAAACTAAACGCTTAATGGGGCGAACTTGTGCCCAAAACAAAATAGAGAAAGGCTAGCGTCGCAGGCATCAAAACAGCAGGATTGAGCGCTGGGAAGAGTCTGACTTAGCTCACCATGCGGAGTCCCTTTTGTAGTCGCGTGGGTCTCTGGCGTGGGTCTCTGGAACATTCGGCTTAGACATTTCAGTGCGTAGAATATTCGTAGCTCGGCCAGACAAGCAATTTCTCGAATTTGCGAGAACGCCAAGTAGAAAGAATAAATAAAAGAACATTCCACTGCCTGGAATCAAACCCAAATCTTCTGCGCTACAATCAAGTGCAGTAACCATTTGGCCACGTACGCGCTCGCTCAGCAACGTCTGTGAAAATATTAGAAGAAAGCTGTGTTACAGCAAGATTATCTTCAGCCTCGTCGGACTCGCCATCACGAGTTTTTCTAATTGCAGCACGTCGCTCCATCTCCCAACAGAAGCACCAAACATTGCTTTCGGCCATCTGCGTCCTGACACAGGTTGCTAATGCTTTGCAAAAACAAAGCTGCACCTTTCGATTCTACAACGTAACACCCATCACTAATGTAGTTTGACAGAACCTTCAAGCTTGCCTTGTGCAGGTGCCACTCTTTCCAGAGAATTCTACAGCTAGCTCTGCTATTGGTATCACGTTATACATACTTTGAGATATTGTAAATGTCGTCTTCTGTGTTATTGACAACCAGGTATTAACGATATCAAGAAAGATCACTCCAGCCATGTATATTACTTTTTACATATAGTATGCAAGCAACACAGACCAAAAGAACAATTGCTGAACTCACTTGCATTTGTGGATGAGCTTTTCAAGTGATGTTCAATCAGTTAGCACCTGTCGATTTGGGTGGAGGGCTGTGGAGCATTATGTTAGCGGCTGTAAATACGCTCTCGACAGGTGTTGATAAAAATGGTGTTCTGTGGTTTGTTTGTCTTCTAATCTTTGTCCATGCTTTACGCATCGCTTCTTTTACTATGGTCAACCAGCTTGCACAATTGTTAATGCCAACTTCATCTCCAGATCAGTTTTTGGTCCTCCTAAATTATCTTGAGGTGCCTCCATGCTCCGATTTGGTGAGGTCGCCTTTTCAGTAATGATCTTGTGACGTCACAATGGAAGGAATCGCTGTTCTCTTATCTATTGATAGTATTTGAAAGCATAAACTCTGCTCCCATCCATCGATATGGCACGAAAGTGCAGAGCACACCTGTAAAGCTTGTGCTTGCAGTGCCTTAGATGTTCAGAATCTAGATGAAGTTTCAAGGAAAACATTTGTTATTCTTTTAAAATAGAAAATAGCATCGCCTGTTGATACACCTTATACTAATGCTTTACATTTTTTAAGCAGACCTTATACGAAAGTTTCTTTTATTTATTATTCTATCATAAAGATAATTCACACTGTTTTTATTCACTGACCTTGTTGCAAACCTTGCAAAAGGCACAAAGCAGTACGTGATGAGGTGCACTCGTCATAAACCACAAAATGGCACATAACTCATGGCAAGCTGAGCTTTTCATAAGCCGTTAAGAGGTTACATAATCAATTAATTATACCCTGAGGGTCCTCATGGACAAAAACAAAATGCTCTGATCAGATCCTGGTCCGCAAGGTAACAAAGCCTCAGTGGCCTCTTCACAACAGTCTCCACTCATCTAAAGAAAAAAAAAAAAAAAAGGCTTTATTTTTTGTTTTCAGTTTATTGATTAATTGAAAACATTAAGGAGCTACATTGGGTTTTGATTGTATTTTTATACCACAAACACACCCAAAATGAATTTTACTTAGTAAATATAAATAACCTATAACTAGGCCGTATATCCTCCGGTGTTTGTTTATGAGAAAAATCGGCGGATGTTTTTCATTGTTTATTTATTTTTCAAACATTGGTGTCTTTCGACCAGGGTTGGGTCAAAATACTTGATGTACTTGGAAATACAAATGCTGGGATACATAAAAATAGCTAAAATAGTGATACTTAAATATATCTGTAAAAATTATTCTGAAATGCATCGGAAATGCGTTTTAACAAGGAGCAAAACGTATTTGGAAATACAAATGCAGGAATACCTCTTAGGGATGGCAGAAATACAGATACTGAAATACATTTTTTCAATTTGCTTGAGGTGCCAACTGTCATATCATAGGCAACAAATTAGTTGGGAGGTGCAATAAAAATTGTTCTTGCTTTGTCTGTTATTTTACACTGAAGCGATACAAAAGAAAAACATGCAAGTGCTAAACTCAGTTACACTTGAGCAGGAGCTTCTCAAATAGCCCACCTGTGAGCCGTTGCCCATTCAAACGCAACGTCATGTTGGCAAAAGAAAAAAAAAATAGCTGCTCAACAGTTGTTGAGGAATACAGGTTCATATTAAATCAAAGAAACATTGCTTTCACAGTTGGGAACCACATTTTTTCATTAAGAAATGTGCCACTCACAGCACATTTCTTATCTTCGCAGAATAGAGAAGAGGTCGCATAGACAAATATTTCTGGGAATTTGAATGAACCTTGGTCAGCATAGTAACAATGCCCCGCGTCCCCTTAAAAAAAAAAAAAAGACGTCCAGACTTTTTTTTTTTTGTGGGGGGGGGGGGGGGGGGGGGGGGGGGCAGAAGCATGGTGGAAAACATTCTTCAGTTTTGCAGAATAAAGAAAGGGGTTGCTAATGTCCGACACAAATAGTTCTGGTCAAACCTAGGCTCGCATGATAGCAAAGGCACAACATACCCCTCATAATGCCCTCTGGCCTTCTCTAGCAAAACAAAAAAGTTGTCATCTTTTTTATCCAGAGGTGGGGGTTATTTCTCAAGAAATGTAACGAAATACATCCCGTCTTGATTGTATTGCGGTACCGAGAAACATCCCAAATGCATTTCGATACAGAAATACAGATACTGGTGAAAAAAAAGTGTTGCAATAGAGAACTGCAGACACTAAATGTATTTCTGAAATACTATTGCAATACATTTGTATTGCGATACTGCACAACCCTGCTTTCGACTTGTTGTCTGATGTAGACGCTAAAAACAGAGATGATCGGTGAAAAAAAAAATTGGTTTGGGACAAGTTGCTTTCTTATCTGCCGTCCTCTGACATGAATCAACAAGGGCGTTGTGACTGTTGGTAGTAACCGTCTGACTGACCTCTCGGGCCCTTGTCCTCCAGGGTCAGCGATCCCAC